TGGTAAGAGTCGACTAAGGCGAACTTACCATGACCAACTTCTAAAATATAAAGTAAAAACTACACTTGTAAAATATAAAACAAAATACTAATAATTATTTAATAGCGTACTCTCGCAATTTTTCTGCTTACCAATATTGCCGTTTATCACGTTAGCTATTAGCTTATTCTAATATTTTATTTACCGTTCTTTATTGTCATTGTCAATGTGCTTATTACCTATAAAGAATATGTTATACTACAGCTAGGAACCCACTTCGACAGAGAACGCGGCAACTTAAGGAATTTTGTGAAATTGAGGTACATGTGGTTTGTCATCAATGTCTCAGGGTATCTTATAGCAATACTCCTAAAATGTTTACTATTTAAAGCTGTTATGCAACTGTTATGGACTGACGTGTCACTTAAATACCACCAGGTGCACGACTTGTTCGTCGCGTCTCTTGGTAACATAAACAAACAGATTTCCGTACAATAAGTACATGTCGATGCAAAATTGACGCGTGCATATTCTACATTAAGATACGATTTTAATTGTTTTTCAGATACATGCGAATATGTGGAGCATCTTTGCAATTTGTTTTTTAACACTTACGCAAACGTTAGTATTTGCATCTTATCGCGGGTTTTGTTAATTGGAGGGAATTGTTGTAAAGTGACTACACTAACCATACCATTGTTTTATAATAATTAAGCGAAGCACAGAGAGCGAAGCTAAGAGAGCTTCGTCATCAAAAACCAGTCGCTGAAATTGTCATTGCCAGTTGTGCGGTCCGTTTGCAGTCTGCTTCGCGGCTAAAGCAAAACTTATATTATTGCAGCTGGCGTATAACAAAGCACCGATAATGTTCAAAATCTAAGCTATATACATGCCAACCAGCCTGCTTTCTACGGAAGTAGTACTGCCGGAAGAACAAACGTCCTTAGTCTTAACTAAAAACGTATCTTCTTTCACATCCACTATCATTATTGTCATACACGCCCCAATACAATAGCAAGATTTTGTGCGTTTCTAATTCTGCCAAAAGTTAAGAGTAATTAATGGCTTTTCAGTGACTAGTCACCCAGCTTATTCAACTTTAACAGCATGTTTCTGTATTAATTAAATTTTTATTGAATTGATATTCAATTATTTTTTGTGAAATTACTCCACTAGTTTGTTATAATTATTAATACAAAGATCGAACACTCAGAAAAAACACTCAGAAAAAAATCCTTCGATCCGGTCGGATTCGAACCGACGTCTTCTTGCATACCGTGCCAGACGCTATACCAACTAAGCCACGGAACGAACCAACGGACCTCACGAATTTTTCTATGTGCTTGCGTCGTGTCTTTGTACTTGGTATTTCAACGAGTTTTTAGTCGTAGCGCCATCTATGAGAAATCTATTACAGATTTATCACCCAGTTAGTACCTTTACAGCTACCAGTCCTGGCGAGAGATGTCGCTATTCACTGTATTAATTAAATTTTTATTGTTTCTGTTTTAAAAACATTTAAATTATTTTCAGTAAATTAACTAAGCAATATGAACCAATTTCATGGAAATGGACGTGTGAAGGAGGGAGGCTATGCACAAAATGGCAGAAAGGTTCAAATACAAGCGAACATTTGGCGGTCAGTCTACAAGTATGTAAGATGTTCTGCACAAAATATGGTTTGTGTTATGTGACCTTGTTTTAGTAAATTATATTTTAATGTATAAAGAATTACAAAATTTAAGTGGCAGTGCGGGGGCACATCGTTCGTAGAATAGACAGCCATTGAGATCAAAAAGTATACGAGTGGCGACCGCATACCGGAAAATGCAGCCTGGGCAGATCGGGTGATCAGATAAGGTGGACAGATAACCTGATGTTAATAGGTGACAAGATTCTATCGTTGTTCTTTGGGGGAGGACTATATCTAGAAGTGAAAGTTTTTCGATTGTAATGATGTTCATGAAGTAATAGTAAAGAATTTTCGAGCACAAAGTTATTAATAGTTATAATAACATACACTCATTAGTGAACATACACCACAGACAACCACAAATTACACTCAAACTCAAGAGAGAAATAAATGTAGGCCATAACAATATTTCTCCCAACCCAGGAATTGAACTCGGGACCTCTGCGTGGTAGATCTGCACGGTGACCGTTTGGCCACGGAGGCAGTTAAAAAAGTGTGTCACGAAGATGTTACTACAGCAACCGTGGTCACAAAGGAATTTTAAGGAGAAACAACTGGAGCCCAATTCCGCCATTGGTCATTGTAATTCCATTAAGACTCCATTGAGACGTAAAATTTTTATTCAATTGATATTCAATTATTTGTATGTGCAATTACTCCACTAGTTTGTTATAATTATTAATACAAAAATCGAACACTCAGAAAAAATTCCTTCGATCCGGCCGGATTATAACTCCATGGAAATTATATTGCAATTATGATAAATTTGTTATTCTGCTAAAATCTAGTCGCAAGGGCAGTTGAGTCTCAATAGAGTGTGAGTGGCAGTAATGGTGCCCATTCATAGAATCACTAACAATTGTACTGTTTTTGGGTTGCGTGTATAGCAAGCTTCAGGACAGGTGAGACTTAAGACTTGACATTCAAGTAGCAGTAAAGCTCCTTGTGAAGGAGTTCGTCTAGGGAAGTACTGCCACCTTACCTATTTCTGCCGCCAAGCAGTCATATCAGCATTACTGTGATCCGGTCTTGAAGGGAAAGGGTGCTGGTGAAAGTATAGACTCAAGGAACTTGTCAACTTACGTCTCAGGGTAACGGGCGAAGTGGCAGTGCCCCTCAGATCTTTGCGATTTATAGCTCTGACACTGCAACTGTTATGTACCTTACCATCAGGCGCACGACTTGTTCGTCCCGTCACTTGATATTATAAAAAAAAGACTTATCAATTAAGTGTTTTTTTTAATTTGCGTTTAGGATATTTAATGCGATCTTTTACACTTGTTTGTCCACGTGCAGGGTCGAGAGCGCGTCATGCTTGACATTTAACATTTAATTTCAACTCTGTGACGCTTGCGATAGGAACCGTCCCAGGTCCAAGGTGCCTTGTTATGCTCTTGGCTGTACCTCGTTTCAGGACTGCAAATAGTGTATTATGTGTGGAGGTTGGGAGGAAGATGATTGAAAATTGAAAATTAATAATTTATAAATGAAATCAGATTTTTGTTGGATTGCGAGTGGCGTCTCTATCCTATAGGGTCCTGGCAGAACACCAGCGTCGCGGCCAGCCGCGTCATTTATGCTGAGCCAGCGCCTTTTTCACTGCCATGACTTCCAAGTGTAATATTAGTAGATAAGAATATCATTATTGTTATATATAAGTTAATGCCTATATCATGTATCTGATGTCATGGTGGTGAATAAAGCTTTTATCTATCTATCTATCTATCTACATAATTTAAATACAATATGACGACTGAAAGGCTATTAAGTTTGGGATGAAAACGAGCGTTTGATGGGGTGTCGTCGATGATAGATGAGAGAATGCTTCTGGAATATTTGAAGCCACGGACCACGCCACCCCATCATGTCACAGCCAGAGTAGAAAAATGTACTCGTGGTGTCACCATTCAATACTTTAGTAGGGGTTTCTGTCGCCGCCATCAGGTGACGTTGAAAACATACTTATTAAAAATACCAGGTAAATTACTATGCATATCTTAATTTTTATCCCGTTTAATTAGCAATTTAGTCATAAAATTTAAAGTAATATTAATAATACACTGCGCCATCGACTCGCCATTGGTTACACTGACTTCATAATCTACACTTCTCATTGCTTTTTAGAAGAATAATGTAAGACTTCTTCTACATACAAAATTCGTATTAATTAAGCGAAGCTCAGTGAGCGAAGCTAAGACAGCGTCGTCCTCAAAAACAATAAAAAAAAAACAAAAAAACTGGACTACAGTTAATACTCCACAGTGTTTGAAGACCCGCTTATTTAACCAATATGTCATGCTCACTATGACTTACGGTGGCGAGATGTGGACGCTCATACAGAAGGCTGTGTACAGAATGAGAGTCGCACAAAGAGCCGTATTACAGGCTCATGGAAGTTGTCAACTTATGTCTCAGGATGAAGGGCGTAGGGGCAGTGCCTCTTTACGATTGACAGGAGTGTCGCTTACCACCAGGCACACGACTCGTTAGTCCCGTCACTCAGTAGCATAAAAAAAATAAGTACAATATTTAGTAAGAAAGATTCTATTATTTAAGTATTCGAGTGTACTGTCGTTAAATAATATTCCCAGATACAACTCGCGAAAATTAAATTGAGCCGGATTTACATTTGTCTGACGTGTCGTGTCGTGACGCGTCAGAACAGTATCGGTTTCATAGACACAACACAAGCCGTCACGTCAGATTACGATATAATTATATAAATCTAACCATATTAAATGTATGAAACCGATACCGTTATGACGCGTCACGACACGACACGTCAGATAAAATTAAATGTAAATCCGGCTTAATACTTTATGATAATATTCTAGTATATTTAAATAATAAAATTACCACCGAAATTAGGTAGAGAAAAGTAATGTGAAAATTACTCATGAATTCTTATTATTTTCCCATTGACTTACAATTATATGGACGTCGGGTCCGCGCTAAAAAGTGTCCGAACTTATAGGGCGTTAAAATCGTATACAGAGCGTCATTCACGCTTGAGTCTTCGTTTGTTCGACTGACAGCGAAGCAAGCAAAATTAGACAGTACTGCGATGACATTACAATTTCAGTTCAACGTTTTAGCTTTTTCATATTCCTTTACATGTCACTACGTTTAAATAGGTTGACTTGGGAAATTTTTTTAGCATTTTTGTATAAGACCCGTCGTCCATTTATTTGTAAGTCAATGTATTTTCCTGATATTTTGGCATGGTAATATGGTCCATGATCAATTAGTGTTTGAAAACTAATGATAATTATTTCCTTGGGTCAGTTACTAATCTATGACAACGTTTTAAAGGTTCATTGTGGCCCAGACCAAAAGATAACTTCACTATTAGTGGTTTGTTAGTAAAAGTGAACATTGCCCGAATAAATGTCCACATTGTGAAGATGGGAAAATCGAGTGGACTGCTAGTAGCTGCCGGCTTGGTGAGTACCTTTAAACTTTTAGTTACTTTGTTTATATTTTTGTAATTAACTACCTTCTTGCCTTATATGCAGGTGCTTAGTGGTTCTGTATCACTAAGTTTATTCGAATAATGTGCGGTTGAGTTCACTGATATAAATTATTATTTAATTTAACGGCGAAAGTAAACGTGATTTAATCAGCATGATTCTTCGAAGACAATTTAGTGATCAAAGTGCCGAAAGCTGAATTTATTAAAACTGATTATAAAAGTGTTCTACTATACTTTAACAAAATTCAATGGAGAATAAATGTTAACAAATTTTTAAAAAAATCACCGCAGACTACTTAACAGTTACCACAATTTCAATGTTTTTCCCTAACCGCTCACGCGATACATGCAGCCGTAGACGCATACCACACCTAGAGGTGCCGGTGATGATTTTATACCGATTTATCGGATATCGAAGTTATATCAGGTAAAATAACTAATGTTAATTGCTATTTCGGTAACTACTCTAGCAAACCATAACGTTTTTAATGCCTGGGTCTGTCATTTAAAAAAATAAACAACTTCAAAAATACGTCACGACAATCGCGTGTGTTATTGTTTGGGCTGGTGATTTCGGTGTTTATTTATTGAAAACATACCGTAAGTAGCGTTTTTTAAGTTTACCTTGAATATAAATGTTTATAAACTATACTTTAAGGAGTAATTTCATGGTAAACGTTAGAACCACTCAAA